CCCATGTCCCCTCCCCCAAAACCTCCCAAGGATGGGCAAGGTGGGCAACAAGGGTTTGCAAGGCACCAAATGCCAGGCTGTGGAGGGCAGTGACTCCCAAGAGGGGGATGTTCTGGATGGCTTTGTCCGACCTGCCACAGGGAGGGGAAGCCGGGCTGAGCCTGTCCGCAACGTTCAGTGGTGGAGACCCTACTGAGGGCCCAGCTCAGCGTGTCCCAAAGTGGGTGACACTGTGCCCTTTGGGGGGGGATGTTCTGAGAGGATCCAGGGGGCTGCAAAACAGACACCTACACTTTACTCTGGGCAGCTCAACCGACATAGTGGTTACACATTGAGCTGCTAACTGCTAGGTCAGCAGTTCAAAACTACCAGCTGCTCTGTGGGGGGAAGATGAGGCTTTTTCACCCCTGTAAAGAGTTAGTGTCTCAGAAATCCACGGGGGCAGTTCTATCCCGTCCTGCAGTCGCTTTGAGTAGATCATCTCAGTGGCAGGTAAGCACAGGTGGACTGTGCTGATGTACCCTTCACAGTGAAACTGCTCCCTCCAGATTTGAGAGTCCCCACGGGACTCACCACAGGCTGGCCAACCAGCACAAGCCAGCCTGGGCTTGTCTTGTTCAGGGGGGCTTCCCTCGTGCTCTGAGGCACCAGAGGGAAGCCGGTTATAGAGCTAGATCCACACCACAGGCTGAGGTCCGCTGGCTGGCCAGGCCGAAGGGGCCCAGTCGATGCTGGCTCTGAGTCCAGGGCCCCTTTGTGCCTTCTGGAGCCCACCATCCCGGCACCGTTTATTGAGGTCCTGATAATGTGAGCTGTAGAAATTGAGTCTCCCTGCTACCAGACTCTCCACATGGGGCTCCTTCTAACCACCTCTGTCCTACCTTCCTGTCTCTGTTCCGGAACGACTCAAAAATGCTGACCTTCCTCGCTCTGCACAGTACTGGCATTATGCAACTATCTTGCTAAACACTCTACCACCAAGGGAAGGGTAGGCTTGGTCTACAATTCCTCCTGAGGACACACTCCCGCTGTCTGCAGCAGGCAGACAATCCGTTCCGGGAGCAGAACAGGGCAGGGAGGCTCAGAAGAGCTGGAAGGGAAGGGGACCGAGAGAGACTGGCTTCTAGTGAGAACTGGAGAGAGACCAGTGCCTTCTCATCAATAACCTGATGGCCTGTGCCTGTCCCCCCACCCCCCACCCCCGCCACCTGGCTGTTCTCATAGTGAAGTGGCCCGGGAGGCTTTCCGAGTTCTACACTGAAGCCAAGGGTGTTTCCGACAGCCAGGGGATGGAACGATATGGATGATCAATCGTGAATGTGGACTCTACAGTGAGACAAATCCGAAGACCCTAAGAGGGTCTTCATGGGGCTCCTCATGGCATTAAAAGACAAAGCCTGTCGCATGGGAACTAGGAACGGTGGGGAGCCCGTCTGCTGGTGGACAGTCAGAGCAGCAGAGCTGGAACCCTGGGCTCTGAGCCCTCCACCCAGCAGGGACAGGAGGCTGCGCTGCAAGGCAGAGCCGCCTCCGTGGTGATCAGAGGATTGCTAGTCGCACTGCCTGACACCGCTAACTGCAAGGTCACTAGTTCTGACCTCACAGCTGATCCAAACGTCATGTTCCCCTAAAGAGTTATGACCTCTACTACCCTGTCCTGTAGGGTCCCTTTGGGTTGGCCTTGCCTGGATGGCAGTGAGCTGTGGACTGGTACAATACTGTCCGCCAATAGCTGGTGTGTGTGTGATCAGTGACGGTGACGGCTCCCTTGAGGTGACATAGCCACTTCGCAGCCTCGCTGTCTGGGCTGCTCCTTCCTCCATGGTGCAGACCCACTTCCGGCTGAGGCTCTATCCAACCTCCTGGGGTGCTGTCCTAAGGTTAGTCCCACAAGTACACTTTTAAAAGAGCAGAATGCTCCAGGCAGACCTGTTTTGAGTCAGAATCAACTCGAAGGCAGTGAGGTTTTTTGTTTGTTTTTTTTAAAGCTAAACTGTTGTCTGGCTTTAAGGTGACGGGACCCGTTTTTGCTTTAAGATTTGAAAGCTGCCTCAGGGCAATCATTTCAGGGTTCAGCCACCATCTGTGACTGTTTCGGGGAGACATGGAAACACAGCGAGGGAGTCTGCACCACACTGCCAGGGAAGAGTGTCCCCTCCCCACCTGCAGCTCCGGGCACTCCCTGCTCTGTAAAGACGGGGCAAACAGGGCTGTGAGCTCAGCTGCAGGCGCGCTGCAGTGCTCAACGACGGCGGGGGTGTCATCACTCCTTCGAGAACAGGCAGGTGTGCAAACATGAGAATGAGCTCTGAGGCTGCTTGCCACCAGCAGGCTTGCTGACCCTAAACAACCAACATCAGCTCCCTGGTGTGCAGGACTCGTGGATGCAGAGTTTGCTGGCCAGCGGAGGACACTGATGACCCTGGGGGTTAAGTGAGGCTGGGGTATCCATCTTGGCTTCTGGGGACCAGCCTCCATGCCCCCTCTTCCTGAGTTCTGGTAGCTTCATAGCCCAGCCCAGCTCCAGGAGCTGCCGGGTCCTGGGGGCAGAGTGGGTCTCTCGGAACTTCAATGGAGGGGACCGTCTCCTTCACATCAAGGTTTGCCCAGATACAGAGAAACAGAAATTCTAGGGAATTTCCACAGGTGAGAGAAGCCTCTCACAAGGCAGCACAGACCCATGGCCACCGCGTCGGCCACCTCGCAGTGACCCTGCAGGACAGAGTGGAACTGCCCTGTAGCTTTCCAAGACGATCAATGCCTACAGAAACAGATGGCCGCATCTTTGACCTACAGAGTGGTTGCTGGATTTGAATCCCTCCCTGCCTGTTCTGTTAGTACTGCCCCTGAGAAAAAGCCAAAGCCTACCCCAGAGCCACGGGGCGGGTTCCAAAGCGGCCTGTCGTTAGAGAAGCTGATGGCCATCTCTTTGTCCTGAAGAGCAACTGGTGGGTTTGGCAGCCAGCCTTGCAGTTAACAGCTGCATGCTTAACCACTGAGCCACCAGGGCTCCTGCGGAAAAGCGTCTGCCACGCATGTGCCCCTCAGGACCTTAGGAACCTGTGAAGTCTGCCTGGACTCCTGCCCAGGGCACACACAGCTCCCCGGGCAGGACACAGTACCCAGGGTGCCTTCCCGTTCAGTGGTCTTGGAAGGAAGCTGACCTCTGATGGGAAGATGAAGGCGCCGGGAGTCTCAGTGACTAAGTGCTGGGCTGTGCCCCCCTAGGCTGGCGGCCACACCCACCCAGCAGCCCCTCGGAAGAAATCCCTGGTGATCTGCTCCAACCGGGACGACAGCTCCCCCCTCACCCCCTGGCAGGGACAGTGCCTCATGACAAACCAGGTCCCATGTGGCCGCTTGCCAGCTGGCCCAAAGCTACCTGGCTGGTTCATAAAGTCGCAGTGGCCCAGGCCCGCGATGTCCACCCTCTTCATGAAGAGCACCATGCTGGTCAGGTTGGCCTCCTGCATCTCGGCCGGCTGCAGGGGCTTCATGGCTCTGGAGGCGAAGTCCTCCGAGTACAGGCAGAAGAGCTTGCCTGGGGGACGTGGGGGGTGGGGCAGGTGTCAGGTGGGTGTCGCCCCAGATGGGGGTGGGGGTGGGGGTGCAGCATTACCTGAGGCCGAGGGTCCCAGGAGCTGCTTGCGGACCTCAGCCTGGCTCTGGCTGATGGGCCGAGTGACCAGCGAGTCCGCGCGTATCCGAGGCTTATACACCTGCAGGGGGGAGGGGGTGTCTTTAGCTCAGCAGCTCCTGGTCCCGGGGCTGACCCGGAGTCTCCAAGCTTAGAACACTGGCTTTGTGGTCAGCAGGCCAGTGTCCAATCCAGCCCACAGCACCGCGGGGGTCCTTCCTCGTGTGCATCGCATGTGTACACACTTACATACACATTCTAGGGAGGACAGAATTGTCTCCTGTCCATTATGAAGCCATCATTTGCTAAAATGTAGTCAGTACTTTGATATCAGAATGCTCTTCACCCCGTCCCAGCAGATGGGCCCCTTAGGGTCGGTTCATTGCTTTGCTGGGACCTTAGTGAAGGAGAGCCGGCTCAGAGGACACCCCCACCCCTACCCCCAGGTGCTTCAGGAGGGACATTTGACCCGGGGCGCCTTCCCGCCGGCACTTCCATCAGGTGCTCAGTTCATCTGAAGCCAGGCTACCGAGACGCCAAGGAAAGGCAGGAGGAGCATGTAGCGGCTGGGGGTGGGGGTGCTGAGATCACGCTCTGGCAGATGCACGGCCAGTCTGACTCGAGGCTTGGTCCCCGGGGCCTCATCCTCCCTCGGGTCATGCGTGCACCCTACCTTCCTTCTTTCCAGACCCACGTCGATGACGAAGCGGACGGCGTGGCTGCAGAGGAGCGACTCCCCGGAGCTGGTGGTCAGCACCACTCTCCTCGGAGGGGCCTGGCCCTTCTGCTCGGCGTCCTCGCTGGGCCTGAACAGTGAGAGCTTCTCCTTGGGGTACAAGGGGACCACCACCAGCTCGCCCAGATCCGGGCTCAGGTCAGAGCCCTCCCGGCAGAGCACCTCGTAGGCCTTTTCTATGTCCTGCAGGGGAAGGGCAGCATCGGTGGGGGGAGGAAGCAGCCCTGGGATGAAGGGGGGCTGCAGTCTGCAGAGTCGGCAGTTTGAACCCCTGGGCGGCTTTCTGCTCCGTAGAGGGAGGGACCCTTTCAGAAGCCCTCGGGGCTCTTCTGCCCTGTCCCACAGGGTGGCTACTGGCTGGCACAGACTGGATGGCAGTTTGTCATTGCTGCTGCTTCTTAAGGGGACGCCCATCAAACAGTGGAACAAAGGAAACGAAACGAACCCCAAGTGGAAAAGAAGCTACACGCAGGAACTACGCCACTAGGGTGACACGTTCGCTCTACTTTTCAAATCTCAGCAAGACGCACGGCAGGCCCATCATTACCACATCAACCTGCTTAAGGGCCTCTCGGGGACCAAGGCAAGCAGCAGCCCCGTTTCCATTGCTAAGAAGGGTTTCCCTAAATATCTCATGAGAAGAGATGGCCGGAGTCTTTCGTCCATCCTCGTCTTGACGCGCAATCCCACCATCCCATTGCTCAGCTCCCTCCTTCCCTTCCAACCTCGCTGCACCCCAGGGTCCAACGGGGCAATTGTGCAGGGACATCTCAACCGGCTCCGTCTCCACACCCCCCATTTCGCTTGTTTACTTGTGATAGGTTTTTTGACCAAGCCAACGGCATGACTGCCGATCTAAGTTCATGGAAACCTGCCCACCGGGATAATGCAAACAAAGCCCCTCTGACATTTATATTCCTGCCGCCAGCCTTGCACTGACCCTACACGGAAAGGGTGGGGACCAGACTGGGGCCTCTGAGGGGCCTTGCTGCCAAGGATGCTTGCTCATTCATTCGCTCATTCCTTCCTAGTGACCACCCCCAGCAAGCTCCTGGGCCACGTGGAAGCTCAACAGGTAAGTGGGGTGGGAAGAGGCAGCCCGGTCCAGGAGCCCACCCATGAGCAGTTTCCCAGCAAAGGGAGCCCCAACCCCACTGAGGTGTCTCGTCATATCCTCGTCAAAACACCGCTCACTGCCGCCGAGTCGTTCTGCTCTGCAGCAGCCCTGTAACAGAGTCGAGCCATCCCTGTGCGTCTCACGGACTGTGACTCGACGGACGGGAACAGCAGGTCTCTTTCACCCTTGGAGAACCTTGTGGCTTCCACCTGCTGACCTTGAGGTTGGCAGCCAATGCACAAACACTGTGCCACCAGGGCTCCTCAGAATGCTGCTTAGAAAGTATTTTTGCCACTCTTTTTTTATGTATAGGTTAAGTAACGGAAACTTTTCAGGTGCAGGTAGGTTGAATTGATGTTGAATTTCCAAGTGGGAGGAAGCGGAAATCTTCACAAGGAAAAAAGGGAAGCTAAATAGAGCGCAGATCTGACGAGCACCACTGACGGCCGGCTTGGAGGCCTTCAGCCTCAGGACTGGACAGGAAAAGCAAACCCACGGAAAGGTGCGTCAGCTGCTTCGACCGTCTCTGATTCCTTCACTAGCAGTTACAGGTGTGGGGCTGTCCTCTAACCAACCGTCTGCAGGTGTTGTCCTTTGGTACCACTGAGTCAGTCCTGACCTACAGCGACCCCATGTCCGGAAGAACGTCACACTGCACGGCCCTGAGCTGCCCTGTTTTCTCTGCCGGAGCCCGTGGGGGCAGCGGCTGCGTCCATCCCTCTCCTCCATCCCTCTCCTCGAGTGCCTTCCTCTCGCTCGCTCGCTGCTCCTGCACCAAGCGTGAGGTCCTCTCCAGGGCCTGGTGTCCCTGGTGACGTGTCCAAAGTACGTGAGATGAAGTCTTGCTGCAGGAGCACCCGGGCTGGACGTCTTTTGCACAGACCGGTTTGTCCTTTGGGCAGTCCACGGTTCATGCAAGTCAAATGCACTGATGCTTCTTCGGTCTTCCTTAGTCAGTGGCAACTTTCACCTGCAGATGAGGTAACTGCAAAGACCATGGCTTGGGTCAGGCGCACCTCTGCCCTCAAAGTCACGTCCTTGCTTTTCAAGGTCAGGTGTGCAGCAGATCGACCCAGGGCACGCGTCTTTTGATCCCTGACCGCTGCCTCCAGGAGCACTGTCTGGATCCGAGGAAGAAGAACTCCTGGACAGCTGCCGGCAGAGTCCTGGGACACGGAGCCGCACGCGGGAAGGCAGGCCTCTAGCACCGGGAACAGACCAAACCCAACAAGAGGTTGGACGCCCAACCGCACAGGTGGTTCAGCTCTGACAGCCCGTCTCAAACAATGTCCTTGTGGGTTTCCATTTGATCACTGGGTCACAACCTGAAGACCACTGCTCTGAGTTGGGGACACACACACACACACACACACACACACACACACACACACACACAGGAGTTTCGAAGTGGAAACATCTGTTCCGGTGAGCGTGAGCGTCTGGCAGGTTTGCAGTGCAGCCAACAGCAGTGGAGCAAGGAAGGCTGGTGAGAGGGAAGCAGAGCGGGCAAATGCCCAGTGGTACTCTCTACCCTTTGGAAGACAGAGGGTCAAGAAATCCAGGCTGAGACGTTTCATGTTCATCTGTTAGGAGAAGGGGCCTCCGTGGAGGCCAGGCTGAGTGGCTCACCTGGGCGCACCACTGCTGGCTCCAGCAGGTGCACCTGTGGGTATCTGTGCTCCTTAGCTCTAAGCCAAGTGCACAGGTAATGCCCTGGCCTCCAGCGGGGATGCTGGCCATAAGGCAGGCAACCTGAAGCAGGCTGAGTCAGACAGGGCCGGCACACATCTCCCTGAGACACGGGGGCAGCACCTGCATTTAGGAGGAAGCTGGCCTTGGAGAAGACTTCCAGAAGTGCCCCCAGAGGGCCTCCCCATTCTGTGTCCAGAACCTCCAGAGGTCTGGGGGAACACCTCTTATGCCTGTGCTGCTTCTGGGGTGATGGAGGCACAGTGGGTTATGTGTTGAGCTACTGCTGCTGAAACCCCCGCCGGCCCACTAGAGAGAGAGGAGGCTCTCTGCCCCCACAAAGACTCACAGTTTCTGTGCTATTTGTATCAACTCCCAACTACTATAACGGGAAATCGAAAGCAGACCCACGGAGACCCACGAGGCGCCCCGCCCCACAGCCTGGCTATGAGTCGGCAGCGGCCCAGCGGCGGTGGGTCTGGTTGTTTTGGTTTTTGGTGTTTTCTCTAAGGTGGCGTGGCAGTGGACGCTGACCCAGTGAATGAGCCGTCCCCCCGCCCCCTTCCCATGGCCGGCGAGCATTACTTACTTACCTGCTCACAGGCCAGAAAGACAGCCAGATCACCCTCCTCACCCGAGCGGTGGATTTCAAAGATGAGGCGCAGGACAGCCTCGAAGGCGTCTGTGTGCACCCCGCTGAGGTAGACCACCTCCACGGGCGGCTGGGCCGGCACCTCGACCAGGGGCACGTTGCCGTAGTAGGAGCTCAGGCTGCTGACCAGCAGGGGCGAGGCGTTCAGGACCAGCTTCAGCTCCGGCCGCGCCATCAGCACATCCTTCAGCAGGCCCAGCAGCACGTCGGTGGCGATGCTGCCCTCGTGGAGGCCGTCCAGGACGATGACCCCGTAGCTGCCCAGGAAGGGGCTGGACATCATCTCTCGCTGCAGCGCGTCGTCCGTGCAGTACCTGGAGGGATGACATGCCGTCAGCAGGCTCCGGGGAAAAGCAGTGCGAACGAACGGCAGCCCGACCGTGCCAAGCCTTCCCCGTCCCTTCTCAGCCCAGCCCGCTGAGCTAAGCACGGCCGCTGACGGGAGGTCAGTGGTTGGAACCCACTCTGCTGGAGGGGAGAAAGACAAGGCAGTCTGCCTTTTTGTCAGGACACGCAGCTTTGGAAAGCCCTGGGGCAGGTCTGCTCTGCCCTGTGGGTTGGAAGGAGTTGGTGTAGACTCGGCGGCACTGGGTTTGGGTTCTGGTCAGGCTTTATTGGTCCATGGCTGACTCCGAGGTGATGAAATTCCCAGACCTTCACCGGGAAAAACACACCAACAGAGAAGGTGGCATACAGTGTTCTTAGGGCCACGGCCCCCTGAGGACGACCCCGTCATCCTAGGACCCCGGCTAAAGAACCCTGCCCCAGATGGTTCCTGTGCACTTTAACAAGAACGGCGTGGAACACTCGCCTGGAAGCAATACCACCAAACCCAAACCAAACACTGCCACCCAGTCAGTCCCAACTCAGAGCAACCCTCTGAAACGTTCTCCCAAGGAGCAGCTGCTGGATTTGAACTGCCAACCTTGCAGATCACAGCCCAATGAGCAACCACTACACCACTGAAAACCCGCATCAGGTTAGTATTTCCTTCCTCTTTTCCATCAGGGAGGGAATCTACAAAATACAAGTTCAAGGGAAGAGTACAAGCATGACTATGCCCTTCTCCACGTAGTAACAGACCCGCTCATAAGATACTGCGTCCCTCCCTCTTTCTCTCTCACCCCCACCCCACCCCACCCCAAGACGTAGACAGGCTTGTCCTGAGATGCCGCTCCCAGCAGCTCCAGGGTGCCGGGCAGGGTACCTGGGCGAGTGGGCTGCTCTCTGAGCACAGCATTGAGCATTGGTGGGAGCGCCTGGGCAGGCAGCACCATTTTCCCTGTAAGCTGTGATACGAACCTGTTTAAAGCACCAGCCATTGCCCAATTTCCTGTCCGCATCTTTTATTTAAGCTCTTGGCACCCTCTGCTCAAAGGGCATCTACAGAAAAGCCAGACACAACGAGGATCCCTGGGATCCACAGGTCTTGGAGTTGAGCTGCCAGGATGAAGGGGCATGGTGAATCTGGAAGCCCAGCGGAACACTTTTGAATTTGGATTCTGGGATGGCCAGGGAAGCTTCTGGGGAGGCTGACACTGTTGCCAGAGTCTGAATGATGGAGAGAAGCCGGCAGAGCCCAGAAGAGATGTGGCCCTGAGTGCTGAGGGGGGACAGCCCAGCCCCAGAACCTCCTTTCGGGGCCGGGGAAGAACCTGACCAGGTGTCCCCGAGGATGTGGGGGTGGGGGAACAACTGGCACAGGCCTGGCCGGTGACCCAACATCGCCCACCTTGGAGGCCTGGCTCGCAGAATGCCAGCCAACACCCAGCGTCAGTGGGGGAGAGCAGGCAAACCCCACCCCCCAACACCAACCTCAGGATGGTCTCACTGGTGCAGCAGTTCTCAAAGGGAATCACGTAGCCCACCTCGTGGCCGATGTTGACGTCCATTTCGTCTGCCACGCGGAGGGCAAGCTGCACGGCCGTCTGCTTGTGGACCTGGGTGCACACCACGCCCCCGTGCTGGTAGCGCACAGACAGGCAGTACTCGGCGCACCACTGCGGGACCTGCAGCGGGGAGAGGTAGACAGGGTCAGCTCCCGCTCCCCAAGCCGTAAAACCTGAGTGGCCCCCAGGCAGCCCCCGGGAGCCGAGGGCGCGAGCTTCGTAAGATCAGGCTGCCCCAGCGTTCTCCCCCCGCTGCGGCAGGGTGCCAACCGCTGACCTCACGGCCAGCAGCTGAGCGATTCACCGTAGTCACCAGGGCTGTGCCGTGTGTCCACCTGAGTGGTGCGCTCAATCATCTGTGCCCGTGCTCGGCCATCACCGCAAGTAAGAGCTGACATCCTGCTGGGACCGCAGGCAGAGTCAGACTCCCAGGCAGAGGGCAGCCGAAAAAATTAAAGGGCAAAACACACCTATTATACTTACACACCTATCACATCAGCTGCGGTTTTAAAAAGATCAGTGGAGCCCTGGTGGTGCAGTGGGTTACACACTGGGCTGTTAACCACAAGGTCAGCAGTTTGAACCTACCAGCTACTCCCTGGGAGAAAGAGGAGGCTTTCCACTCCTATAAAGAGTTACTGTTTCAGAAACCTACCAGGGAAGTTCTAACCCTGCCCTATAGGGGTGCTCTGAGTCAGAATGCGCCTGATGGCAGTGAGCTTTGCTTTTTAATTTACAGATTATTATTTTCTTTGCTGTTATAAGGAAGCCCTGTCAAAAATGCAGCTTCGGATAACAGCTTATTGTTTAAGCAATTCAAATAGCAGTTAGATGCAAGACAAGGGATCGGGATAAAAGCATTCACATTTAATGTCTACATGAGCAGGAATAAATGCATGCAGGAAGCCTTGTTACCGATTCCCTAAGGAGCCGGGTGGTATGGTGGCCCAGCATTGGGCTGCTAACCACAGGGTCATCAGGTGGAAACCACCAGCCCCTCCCAGGGGCAAAGACGGGCTTTTTACTCCTGAATAGAGTTCCAGTGTCGGAAACCCGCAGGGGCAGGTCTTCCGCGTCCTAGGGGGTCGCTGTGAGTCGGCATCGTCTCGCTGGCAGGGAGTTTGGTTTTTTGAGTGGTAAAAGCTAAGCGGCACAGGCGACAACTGATCAAGAGACCGCAGTGACAAATCAACCCAGTGAGGTCATCAGCCAGCCTCGGTGGGACTGCTTTTGAGTCATTTTCTTTCACGATCCCGTGATCTGAGATGTCATATGGCTTCATAGATTTTTATCAAGTTCACTAGTGCAACAACTATTAGAGTAGAAAGTACCAGATCACCTCTACGCTGCAATCTTAAGGCATTGTCAATCTATTTCACTTTTTAACATGTACTCTTAAAGGTACATCACAAGACTGCGTTCCGTATAGATCTACGGTATTTAGCAAGGAGCCCAGGTGGCGCAGTGGTGAAGCACATGGCTGCTAAGCAGGAGTGGTTCAAACCCATCAGCCACTCTGCAGAAGGAATGTGCCAGGCAGCCCTCCAACCCAGTGACTGCCTCTGATGCCCTCTGGGCAGCTCCCACTGTCCACTCCAGGTACTGGTCTGCGGGAAGGCACTGAGGAGTTGTAACGTTTGTAATTAGTTGACACAACTGAATTCTTGGCTTTGGGACCTCAGTGTAACTGGAAAGATAGATGTAACTCACTACACGGCAGAGACCTCCCATAGCAACCCCAGCTACAGAACCTCATCCTCCCTGTGTTTCCTGTGCAAATGCACCGTGGTCGGCGTCAGCCTCGCCAGCAGCGACTCCTTACTGACCTCTAACTCCGCTAGGAAAGACGAAAGTGTGAGACATTTGGGAACAAGACAAGACACGCTTGGGGCTGAAGTCGGGAGTCCTGGGTTTTGTCACTCCTGAGTGGCATGTGGATTACAAATTCTCTCAGGATGGCCCAGGAGCAGCCCCTCCACGTCTGAGCACGTGCCTGGACTATTTTCTCCACAAACGTGTGACGGTGCAGGTAGGAGACCCCATGGCATGTCCCCAGCAGGGCGCATGTCACTCTTAGTGTGTTTGTTGGTCCAAGTCCGATGCCCACCCCTGCCCCATCCATCAGACTGAGAGAGACCCTCTGTCTTGGTCACCAAATAATCACACACACACACACACACACACACTGCCATCCCGTCGATGCCAAGCCATATGACCCTGTAGGACAGGGAAGACCTGCTGTGAGTTCCCGAGACCATCGCTCTTCACTGAAAGATGGGCGTAGAAAGCCTGTCTGTCCTCGGTGGAGCTGCTGGTGGTTTCAAACAGCTGATCTTGGGGGTCACAGCCTGTGACAGTCACATAATCTTGTCAACGTGAGACTATTAAAGAGTGAAGGGGTGGAGTTTAGCCTGTCAATCAGGTCACAGCTTGGTGACCTCATGTGGAGTTGCTAAGGAGATAAATAGCTCGCTGGAGGCAGGACACACTCACTCCCTGCAAGACATTCCTGTTGACAAGTGACATGGAGCTATGCTGATGGCAGCCAGAGCCTTGGAGCTGGAGGAGCTATGTGGAGACCCACGCTAGCGCTAAGATGCTTCCACCAAGTGGTAGTTACTTAATCTGTTGTCAATTTGACTTATGAGTGGTGGGGTGGAGTTTAGCCTGTAAATCAGATCACAGCTTGGTGACCTCATTTGGAAGCACTAAGGAGATAGCTTATTGGAGGCGGGATATGGTGACTCCTTGGGAGACATTGCAGCTGAGAAGATACATGGATATAGGCTAGTGTCCTGAGCTGGAGGAGCCACGTGGGGACCCCTGCCAGTGCTGAGATGCTTCCACTACCACTGGATCCACAAGACTTCCCACCCACTGTCCTGTGATCTTCCTGCATTCGGCATCATTGCATGTGTTTGTGAGTCTGAACAGGACTTTATAGATTGGTATCGGACATATGGGCTAGCATTGGACTTTTGGGCTTGATCTGAACTGGACTGGGATGTTTCTTAATGTATAATTAGTATTTATATAAAACTCTTTCTTATACACAGGAGTGTCTACGAATTTGTTTCTCTGGTCTACCCAGACTAACACACACCGCTACTGGATCCACAAGACTTTCCACCCACTGGCCTATGATCTTCCTGCATTCGGCGTCATTGCATGTGTTACGTGTGTCAGAAGAGAAATTTACAGACCGGTACTGGACATATGGGTAAATATCGGACTTAGGGGACTTGACCTGAACTGGGCTGGGATGTGTTCTTAATGTACAACTACTCTTTATATAAAGCTCTTTCCTATACACATGAGTGTCTATGAATTTGTTTCTCTGGTCTACCTAGAGAAACACACACACACACACACACAGCCCGATGTGTAACCTCTACGCAATCATGATCGTGGTCAAGAAATATTTGTGGAATGAACCAATTAATTTCATCTACTTTCCAGAGATGCTTCTAAATTCTATGATTCTATTTGCTCTACTTGCCTTGCTTTACCACACACTGGTCACCCCATTCTCACCCGGCCACCATTGCTTTTATGTCTGAGCCACACAGGTGGTATCGAGCTCCGCATGTCAGGCAGGCCACATTTCCCGACTACTCTTTCCAGCACAGTGGCAAGGCCGGGGCAGTAACGTGGGGACTGTGGACCCTGGTTAAGAGAGCTGTGACTGTTGCTGAATAGCTGCGCCCACTGTGGAACACTTGGGTAGGCGCTCGGCTTTTTCTTCTTTGGTCTGGGTAGCTGCTGTCAAACTTCGGATGCTACCTGATCCCAGCGGTGGGGGCTACGTTCACCAGTCTCTGGTTTTGTTTTGCTTTTCATTATCTACCTGTGATGGAGTGAAATGACTCGGTGTGGACTTCCTACCCACGGACTTTGTATGTAAATAAGGGGAAGCAGCAGACCCTAGCTGGGGATTGGTCAGTTCTGCTATCAGGCTGGGTATATAGTGCACTACCCCAGAAGCAGGAAGAGAGAATCCCATGACCATTGAGAAGGAAGAGCCGCCAGCAGAGCTCCTGCAAGATCCCTGTATGTGTGTGATGTGGCGGTGACACGGGGGCTGCAGCACCAAGACCAGGAGTCGTAGCAAGAGGCTTCCCAGCCCACAGAGGGAGTAGAGCTGAGTGTCTTCAGGGAGAAGGTTGGCTTACAGAGTGGGGTGCTCCTGTGCATGTATCAGCAGTAAAGAAGCTTTATAACCCCTGTTGGAGTGGGGTTTGAGGCCAAAGTACTGCTGGCTGAGGGCCAGAGAGGATGTGCCTGAGAGACATGCCAGAAAGAGAAGCAGCACTTTGGACAAAAGAACTGTATCCTTAATGGTTTATGTCCTGACTTGTAACTTGTTCAACTTCCCTGACAAACCCCTTAACTGTGAGCACTGTTTGAGCATTCTGGCTGGCAGTTGCAGCAGATTATGGAACCCAAGAAACGGCTGGGGTCAGAATAGAATAGAGAAGGTCAGACAGTGGAGGCGGATCTGACCTCTGACTCCCAGGAATTACCCCGGAGCAGATGCGTCACTGAAGGTCAGGCAGTTCCTCAAGACCTACTCAAACAAATTCTGCAAGATTAAAGGAGGCTGATCGTGGCATCAGAACCACAGAGGCCTGCAAGTATAGAAACGGGCCAGTCCACTGTCCTCCTTAGCGTGTATTCCTCCATAGAGGAGGTTACGTCAGTCATGAGGCAGAGGAATTAGGTCAGAGATGAGGACAGCCCTTCCAGGTCACAGGCCGTGCATGGCTGAGCCCACCCAGAGGGCCCTGGGCATGGAGACGCTGGCATACTCGGTGCCAAGCGAGAGGCTGAGTGCAGTCTCTGCTCCAGTGTGGCTGTGACAGCATGCGGGGCTCGGCCCTCTCAGCAGCAGTCACATGTGGAAAATGGGAACAGAGATCCAAATGCAAACCGAAAAGGGTGCTGGAGAACGTAGCGGAGGAGAGCAGGCCCACCTGGCCCGTGGAGTGGACCCGGTGCTCCTCACCGCGTGAGAGAGCAGGCATGAAAAGCCATGCTAGGGGAACCGATGCCTTTGCTTTCAGGTGCTGGTGAAGAGGACGGAAGTACCATGGGCCGCCAGGAGAACAAGCCGATCGGGGTGGAAGGGGACCAGCCAGAATGCTGCGAGGGGGCGGGCTTCGTCTCCTGTCCTTTGGACACGTGATCCCTGGGAAAGGACATCATGCTTGGTAACGGAGAGGGTCAGCCAACAGGACCCTGACTCAGTGGCTGAGACGACCCATGAGCTCGAACACAGAGGAGAATGGGGGCGGCACCAGACCCGGCGGTGCCTCTTTGTGGGTGGGATCGCTGTGCGTCGGTGGACTCGCCTGGCCTGACAACAGGCTCCCCTGCATCTCGAGGCAGGCTGCGGCCCATGGGGCAGTCTCGTCAGACTCAGCCAAGCTGAAACTCAGCGCAAAGTCACCGACTTGGCTGATGCTGGAAATGTGGACCCTCCTTGATGTCAGGGGCACTGAGATGCCAGCATTCTCTGTGAGGATGATGAGTCTTGTACCTACTGCCAGCATGACCTCCATGCCCTGTAGACTCCGCTCCGGCTGTTAGTCGTTGGCAGCTTTTTCTTGGTCTCGGTGGCCCTCGGCGCCTCTCACCACTGCACCCTGAGCCTGGAGGGGGCTTTGCTCCTCGGTGGACGCCACTCCACCTCTGGCTTGTAGAGTTCCAAGCGCCTGGAGGGCAGAGTGGAACGGCTCCAAAGGCGGGCTTTCCAGCTGGAATCTTGGGCCGTGGAGCGGCTGATGGGGTTGAACTGCCGGCCTATGGGGAGCAGCCATGTCTCCGGGGTAGCTGGGTGAGGGTTGTGCTGATGCCGCATTCAGAGGGCGTTGCTGGGGTGGGCGGCCGCAAGCTGACACTGTGAGCACTGGGAAGGCAGAAGAAGCTGCGCCTGCGCCTGACGCCTGTGTTAACGTCTTCATTCTGGGTCATTCTGGCTGGGCAGCGCGTTCTGCCTCAGAAAAGCCGACCTCTCAGGACTGACCCCAAGGACTGGGTCATCCTCTGCATCAAAGGTCAGGCCTCCCCAGATGCCACCATCCCCACAGGTGGGGCACTTGGTGACCGAAGATACCACAAAGCCGCAGCGCCGAGCAGAGGGTGGCCTCCTGAACCGAAGGTCAGGCCTCCCCAGAGGCCACCAGCACAACTCTGGGCACTCAGCAACTCTACCAGCAGAAGGCAGCGGACAGCCGTACTGGGTGCACTGGGGGAGGGCTCTAAGCGATGGAGATTCTAAACTGAAGTCTCGTCCCAGTCCTTGTTGTCGTCCTGCGCCCTGGAGTTGAGCATGTGGGGCAACCCGAGCCCTCAGCTTGGCGAGCAGGAATGCAAAGTGGAACAGCTGTGGTGCAAACCAGTGTGGCACTTCCTCAGAAGCCTAAGAATAGAACGAACATCTGACCCACAATTGCACGTCCAGGCACAGACCCAAGAGCAGAGCGTCCAAGAGAGGGGCACGCCAGTGTTCGCTGCAGCAGTAAGAGTCTTTGCACCGATCCACAGATGACAGGATCAACAAGAGAGACAGGCACACACAATGGAGTACCCTCGGCTGGGATCTGGGCTCCATATACTTGCTTCAAAGAGCCCATCACAGAAGGACAAATACTGTATGACCTCGTGTGGATGAGAAGACAGATGTCCAGAGACCAGAGCTGACTGGCACATCGGGCAGGAGGAAGGGAAAAGAGCACTGACAGTGGTGGGAAAATGGCATTCTGTGTAGAATTGTACAACTTATCACAGGCAACCAGCCACGCATTCCAGATTCTCCTCTGATCCCAGATTCCCTTTCTCCCGCTACTGCTCCAGGTGTACAGAGACCAGTTGTGCTTGGGATGATTCACTGGGAATCAGGCTTGGTGACTGGGAGACTCTGGGGAAAATGGCCTTCACTTGGCTTCTCTCTCCAGTTCATCATCTAGCTCTACCCCCAGGGGAACTTCAGACACGCCCACCGTGAGGGTCCCTCTGCCAACTTGCTCCTTCCCCTGTGCTCCTCCAGCCGGAAGTACAAGGAGAGGCTGAGCAGCTCAGCTGTTCCAGGTGCAAAGAGACCACAGAGAAACGAGCCTCCAATCAAAGCTGCTTTGGATTGCATTCTGGACCGGGCCCAAGGAGAAATGCCACGGAGTCTGGCCACGCCACAGAGCTCCCTCAAGCTGCCAGGAGAAAGGCAGCTCTGGCCCAGCCGAGCAAATTAATTCAGTTTTGCATGATGCCCTTCTGGGAAATACACACAGGGAGGGGAAGCAAATGCCTGGAGACCACATGGGTGGTCATCGGTGGTGTGAGCCGGGCGGTGCTTTCTCAGGGGGCTCTCAGGGGGAATGCCCATATTGAGTCAGTGGAGTCAATATGGGGGGTGGACGAGCGCCAGGAAACTACGCTTTGAAATGGTTCAAGTGGCAATTTTTTAACACCGTCTAGTTTACGAGGATGGTCTTTGAAAGTCCTGGCCTGTGGCCCATACTCACCTGCGAGCTCTTACCACACGTGGCATCCCCGGAGACCATGACGACCTGGCTCTGCAGCAGCTTCTCCATGAAGGAGTACTTCTCCTTCCACACGGGAAGCGCCTCTCTCTCCTTCAGCAGCTTGTAGTAGCGGGACGAGTAGGGCAGCCCGTCAAAGGGGTTGAGCTCCAAGTCATCGCAGACCAGGAGCCCCTCATCCCCATCCCCGTCCCCGTCACTGGAATCCAGGGACTCGGAATAGCGTTTTTCAGAGGACGGGCTGAGGCCCTCCAGCTCCTCGGCTTCCATGTTGTCCAGCTGCAGACCGAGCGAGGCACGGGGGGTGGGCTACGGTTGCCCGTCAGCAGCCCATCTCGACCAGGGCCCGCGGTCCGAGTGCACAATCAGGCCAGCCGTGCCCGCCTCAAGTCCTCTCTGGGCACCTCCTCCGGGGGTTCCTGCAGAGCGGGCCCAGATGCCCCGGCCAGCATGCTGTCGATGAAGCAACTGCAACACAAACACAGACAGGTTAGGAAGAAATAGCACAGCCCCCACAAACTGTTGCTGTCTGCCCTCTCAGGGGGCAGCTTGGGGAAGCTCCAGAAGCTAAAGGGACTGCGAAGGAGGCTGGTCAGCTGGGAAGCCCACTGGGCAGGGCCCCAGGAGCTTGCTCGCCCTCTGATCATTTCAGCTGGCCATGAGGTGGCCAGAGATTGGGGAGGTGAGCTAATGAATCACGGACTCGCTTCAGCCCACCACCGCAGATGCTGGGCTCCACACGGGGGCAACTGACAGGTGGGGGCGCTGGGAGAGGACCCACAGGGGCAGGGCGTCTGGGTTAGAGACAGAGGGACCCCAAAGCCCCTCAATGGTTCAGGCAGAAACAGATGGGCTGGTGTGGGTTTTGCCGGGTTTTGTCTCAATAGTAAAATTAAATTTGGAGACAGAAGAAAAGCCCTCTCACTTTGCATGTGTCAGTGGTGCTTTAGAAGGTCAGAGGCCAACGAGCAGATTACAGATGAGGGGCTTCAACAAGTTCCTGAGAAAATTCCACCTTCTTTTAATTCCATTTTTCCACAAACTGCTTGAGTGTGTATGCACGCACGCGTGTGTGCATGTGTGTGAGTGTGTTTGCTGGCTTTTACTAGTAAGGTCTCTCGTCTGGTCGGTGAACCAGAAATCGCTACCACATTTCTTGAGATTCCTGTGTCAGAGCGAAAAATATTCCACCTTTAAACTAAATGAAGAAATTGCCTAAGAAAGGCCAAGACTCACATTTGTCAACTTCCTTCAAGGCAGGCTTTTTCTCTTCTAGTCAATACCCAAAACCAAACTCGCTGCCAGAGTCGATTCTGACTCCCAGCGCTCACACCAAACCGAACCTGCGCCACGGAGCGGACTCCCATCCTCCGCGGCTCGGCATGCCGGGGCACAGCTGCTCCCAGGGTTTCCCAGGCTGGGGGTCTGGACAGGACCGGACTGCCACGCCTTTCTCTCCAGGACGGCTAGTGGATTTGAACCACAGACCCCGCACCTAGCTTAAGGTGACCAGACATCCCACTTTTAGTGGGGCAGTCCCGTTTTTGGCGTTTTTAAAAAATCCCGATTTTGGAAAAGAATGCACGATAAGCTAGGGAACGGTCTATTTGGTCCATGTAGACCAAATTTTTAATCAAGAACCCCCCCACCCACCCTGGTCAATGGTGTCTCGCTTTAAATCTGGTCACTTTAACCTAGCTGCCCACGGCATAGCCCGCTCAGTAAACGCACTGCCTGAGTCAGTTCTGACTCTGTGCCACTCACTCACCAGACAGAGAAAACCCTGAACCCTGTCAGCCCGTACTGCCCCCTTTTACATTCCCTGATGAAGTTTCAAATTCTGACCCAAAGCAAGGGAACAAATCAAAATATCCATGGTGTTCTGTCACTTAAATTATTTGACGGCACCTGATTTGCCTTAACTGATTGCTAGTTAGAGGAGTCCAGGCAGCGGAGTGGTCATGTGGGGCAGCGGTTTGCAAACCCCAGCAAGCGACTCGGAGAAACAGGGCATGTTCTGCTCCCGTATCTTACACTCTCGGAAACTGCACAGGCAGGTCTGCCTGTCCTAAAGGGTCACTGTGAGTTGGCATCGCCTCTGTGCCAGTGAGTTTATTGCTAGTTTAGATGGTTAGTTGGGGCTCAGAGGGCTCATGCCTATCAGGGCCTCCCATTTAGGGGAGGCATCAGTGAAACAGCAGTTCAGCATTCGAGAGAACAGACCAAGCCCCTTCCAAGGGTTTGCCCTAACAGTGAGACCCTGAACACACACACACGGTGCTCTGGAAGCGGGGCCAAGGGCAGGGCAGAACCTTCAAAACTCACCCTCTCAAGGCACTCAGACCCTGAAATCCCAGGACAGGCTGACTCTAAGAATCAGAAGGTACATTGAATTTTGGTTCAATTTTCTGCTATTCTTCTCCTCTTAACATGTAAAGCAATCTGCTGCCCCCTTAGGTTTAATTACTGAATGGTTTTACTTTAGGGGAAAAAGTGCAGCTACATTTTCATCACATAGAACCCCTTGACGCGGTTTCTCGATTTTGTAACCCTCCCTCCCTAAAACTGGTAGTGACAGTAAAGCCTCCCTTACAGAGTAGTGATCACTTAGCACCCCAGGAAGAGTCAGGTTTCCAGCATGAAGGCCTGAGGTGTCCTGATGGAGCCAAGCTTAGGGCCTGGCTGCTGAAACGAAGGTCCGTGGTTCGGACCCACCCACTGTTCTGCAGGAGAAAAATGGAGAACTGCTCAGAGAGGTTGTAAATCTGAACAGCCTTCGTAATAAAAGAAGTAATTCAAGAGGTCGTTTAAAAATTACACCCAACAAAAAATAAGTTCTGCCCCAAACATTTGGAGAAGAGCTGACACCAGTTCTACTCACATCCCCCCAGAAAGTAGAGGGGGAAGGAATCCTCCCTATCTCATCTTGTGAGGCCAGCATGGGCCTCCAGCTGCGGCAGGCAAAGAAAATTCACAACAAGGGGGAAGGCAGACCAGTAGCCCTCACGATCACAGAAGCAAAAAGCCAAAACAAGATCCTAAAACAAAGTCAACAGTACTATCAGAAGTGGGATTCAGATCAGGGATGCAAAGATGATCCAACTTTAGAAAACCAAGCTCATTCCCCGATCAATAACACAAGGGCTAAGGAATCACGTGATCATCAAATCCCACATCCTTAGCTGATACAAACTTGCAGCAGGGTCGGAACAGAAGGAAAATTTCTCAGTACAATCATGGAGTTAAGAGACAACAAAATCCTGCCCGAAACTTTGTGAAGCCTTACACGGCCCACTTAGCTGGATGGAGACACTCACATGTTCTGGGCGAGTCCTCCCACTGAAAGGTGGAGGCTGTGCCCCCTCCCCCTTATACGCACTAACTGTGTGTCTTACAAGTGCGCAGAAATGATACTGAATTACTCTCTCTCTTGGGATGATCCCTGGGTACACTGTGAGGTCCCCAGGTCACGCGTGGCCAATGGGAAGAGAGGAAAGCTGAGCTCCCAGCCAATGGCCTACTGAGTCAATCCTGTGAGGAACTCCCCTTTGGACAGTGCCAAGCCAGTCGCAATAGGAGCAGAGGAGCCACCCACAGGAGCCCAGCCAACCCAAAGAATCATGCGATAACAAACCGTCTCGCTGCTTTAAACTACCTGTGCTAAGCCCAGGGTGGTTTGCCAGGCTGCAACAGACCACCAACCTTCTGCCAACTCAAACGGAGCACAGGCCACAATTTAACCCTTTCTTCACAACTCAGGGTCACCATTTCATCAGTTACAGAAAATGGAACACCGTCCTCCCTTTTCCCTGTACTGGGCAGGGCCAGACTGCTCTTGTTTTCCTCCAGGGAGCCAGCAGCCAGATCACACTGTGGGCAATGTGGAGACCAGAGGCACCCCTTGCCTCCCCCTTGATTTTACCCCGGCGAGCCCCATGTTGGATTTCTGACCCCCGGGCAAAGACAAGAGCCTTGTGTTGGTTCAGCCTTGAGTCTAAGTTTCATCAGCAACAGAACACGGAAGCAGCCCACCACGCCAGTTCTACCTTCACCCTCCACCAAGGCCCGGCCATCAATCACCCTCTTGTCTTGGACAAGGGCAATGCCTTCTGTGGTACATGCCTAGCATCGCTGTGACAAGGCACCACGCGTGGAGAGCAGAGCTTCTTTCTTAGCGGAACTGAACATAGGGGTGGCAAAAAAACTGGCCACAGTAAAAGGCTATGAACACACTGAGTACAAATTCATTCACAATCCGCCGTGTCATGAATCCAAGGTGTTGCTGGCAGGGCTGGCCCTGGATGCAAGTTCCTGGGGCAAGAAAAGGAGCTGCTGCTGGGAAACGCTGAAGCGGCCCTCGCCTGACACAAGAGAAACGTGTTCGTCCAAATTCTGGAGGCTAGCAGGCTGGATTCCGAGTGCTGGCCTGTCCCGGCTCTCTCCAAAGGTGTCCCCGACTCCCAGCACTTCGCAACCCCAGGCTTTCCTTGGTGAACGGCGGCATCATTAATGAATAATGGTCTTCAGTCTAACCCCCACAAAAATCACACCCAGTGCTGACTCTCAGAGAGCCTTGGGCCAGGGCAGAGCGGCCCCTGTGCCTTTGGGAGACTCTTTCCGGGAGCAGAAGGCCCTTCTTTCTCCTGTCTTTAGAATACAGTGGACTACAGGGTTAGTATTGTTCTGGAGAGGGTCACTGGACCACTATTCCAGTCCAGTTGTGAAACGTGCTGCTTTGTGGCAAGATAAAGGACTGAGCCCAACTCACTGCTTGCTTCATTGAAGAAGTCAAGCTGACCAGTCCGCTGACCTGACAGAATGGGCGGTGACGCCGCTCATTTACATCCCGGCAAATCAGGCCTTAACCTTAGAGCAGTACCGTCTACTAGGAAAGACAGACGGACAGCAGTGAGGGCAAGGATGCAGATATGACCAGCCTATATGGAGTGCTCACTGCAGGCCAGCGCCCACGTCAGCACCTTACACAGACCCTGCCCCTTCACACTCTAAAGGACTCCATGGGGGTGGGTGGGGGAGGGCCTGCACACGATCTAAGGAGAAGTTTAAACCTTAACGACTTTTTATCAGCTTATCCATCTTCTCCCAAAAGCTCTGTAGAGCAGACGGGTGGCGAAAAAGAAGGCCGGCTCTCAGGAGATGGATCGACGTGGTGGCTGCCACAGTGGCTGCAGGGACAACTGTGGTGACGGTGCAGGACCGGGCTGTCCTGTGGTGCACAGGGCCACCAGGGGTCGGGACCAGCTTGATGGCACCTCACATCCTCCTCCTCCTTTCTCATCACAGGAGCAGAGCTGGAACCCAGGCAGGGGGAGGGCAGCTTAACCCGAGTGAATGGCACCAGAGCCCGTTGCCATCGGGTGGGTCCTGGCTTCAAGCAGCCCACCCAGGACAGTGACTTTGGCAGTGGACAGAGGGGACCTGTCCAGGGTGTTTCCCAGGCTGTCCTCCTATGGACGCTCACACACACATCTTTCTCCTGAAGCAGCGGGTGGGCTCTGTGGGCTGTGGGAACCTGGGCGGGGTAGGGCACACCTGGCAGGGAGGCCTGGGGCTAAAGACCACAGGCTCTTTTATGGATTTGAAAAGGTGCTTCCAAGTGCTGGCCCAGAGTTAGTGAAACAGGGAACCTGTAACCTTTACCTCTCATGCGGGACGTGCCTTAACTGAAAGAGAGGATGCCTTGCAGGGACTTTTGACAGGCTGCTTCCTGCTCTGCCGTGTGCCCCCAGCGGGTTCTAGGTGGCATGGGTACCCACGAGTCCTACATACAATGGTCTAGAGCCTATATCAAACCTTCCTGGAATGAAGTACAGTAAAAACTCCACGTTGACTTTAAAAAACTTACAGGTTTCTTTTTAAGTAAGCAAATCAAGTTAATGAGCTTATTTAAGGCTCTCAAATTCTAAAAGATTAGCTTACTGGTTCATACTAAATATAGCTCAAATAACCAATCCTGTCCTATTGCATATACACACACACACACACCACACACATATAACCTATTGGCAATTATTAGATGTTTAGGCTTACAAGGGAGCTTCAGAAAGATGGTGGAAAATTTTCAGTACCTTTTAATTCCATTTATCCATGGACTTTTTGAAGATCCCCATGTACATACAGAAAGCACTAGCAGTGTTCATGTACAGTAATGATAACGTTACTTCCCACCTGGACCAACAGGCAGTTGTTGGAACAGACAAAAGGGATGCCATGAAAGGTAGGCATCAGGTTTGGAATCCAAGCATCAGGGCTGGAGGAAGCTCGTGAACAACCTGCACTGTACAGACAACACAACCTTGCTGTGGGAAGCCAAGAAGACTCGGAAGCACTGGCTGATGAACATCCGAGACTACAGCCCTCAGCGTGGATTGCAACTCACTGGAGAGGAAACGCAGTGCCTCACAACAGGACCACAAAGAAGCAACATCATGATAAACAGAGGAGAAAGGTGAAGCTGTCAAACATTTTCCATGTCACTCAGATCCACAGTCAGCATTCCTGGACGCAGTAGCCACACGATGTCTTTTGCTGTGGGCATCTCTGCTGCATAAGAAAACAGGGATGCCGTTCGTTAGAGGACTAAGGTGCGTCTGACCCAGCCCTGGCATCTTCCGATCACCTCATGTGCACGTGGAAGCTGGACCTTGAGCAAGGGTGACCGAGGGAGAAGAGACGTCTTGGGGTCAGGGTGCTGGGACGAATGCCCAGAGGACCTCGGGCTGCCAGAGGGACATGCAGATCGGTCTCGCAGAAAACGCAGCCACCACGGTCTTTAGACGTGAGGATGGTGAGACTGTCTCATCGACTGAGGACATGCTGTCAGTCGGGACCAGTCTCTCGAGAAGGACCGCATGCTCGGTGGAGGGTCAGCGCAAAAGAGGAAGGACTTTGGGAGCTGGACTGACACAGTGGCTGCCACAGTGGGCTGGGCATCATGACAGTGGTGAGCTTCTGCAGCACCAGGCAGGCAGGGCCCCTGGGAGTGGGGCGAAGCCATGCATGTACTGCCAACTTCCCCCGAATGTCCTGAGAAGTGCTGGGGGACTTCAGATGTCTGCGTCACTGTGGCAGTGGGTTACTTACTGTGTAGCCACATTCTCGGTCACGCTCACAGCTATCTGGGTGATATCATGGCCCACCGAGCAGATCAGACAGCTTGTCAGTAATGTAGATGTGGCGCAGGATATCCTTGTGAGAGTAGGATTGTGCCAAAAGGTATTGGCATCTTAAGGGAGCTGGTCAGTTTTGCCACCTGGCTTGGCTTAAAATAAGCCATTCCAGGAATGATAGAATGGCCTCAGGATCATCAAGGAAGAAGAGCCAGGAATGGAGTGTATCTTTTTGATCCAGGGAA